TTCCTGGTTCTATTCTTAGTTATCCTTAGGGGATAACTTTCTTCCAACCTTTCCCTCTATTTTTTTTCACAGTATGTCAATGGGGATTAAGATGAAAATGATGACAGAGTTTTGAAGAAGCCACACTTTAATCGGGCTTCTTTAGGGGTTGGTCTCTGTCTTAGAAAAGGAGATAGAACAGTTACTCTTTTTCTCATTAAACTGTGTAAATCAAAACAAATTATTTTAGTCTCCAAAGCCCAAGAACTCTGGATCCTTCTGGATTTTTAATTTAGTTATTTATGTAAAATGTTTCCATACCACTTCCTGTTGGAAAAAAAAGTCTTGCAGTTTTTTTTACTATAAAAGCAATTTCTTAGAACAGTGAATAAACATATACATGAAATCATTTTACTTATTATAATTTACATCTGCATCCATCACAATCAATTTGACTTTTGGTAACATATAAAATAGAAATCAAAATGTAAAAACATTCACAGTAAGTTTTAAAAAAAGCTTTGTGACAATAAAATAAGAAAAAAGAAATGAAGAAACAAAATAAAGTAGAACAAAAAGTTGTGCAAACAATTTAAAATGCTTTCTGGAACAATTCCATCTTCAATATTTTTCTGATTGCATTCAGGCATTATGCCACCCTGATCTCCATAGGGAGACTGTTCCAAAGGACTAGCACTGCCACAGAGAAGTAGAACTTCCTTGCTTCAGCTTCCTTTACTAGGGTAATCAAAGTAGTTTTTCTTTGGGAAGGTTGCGCAACTGGCGTTCCAAGAGAGAATATCCATGGGTTCCCTGGGAGATCATGATTTTGTTATAAACAAAACAACAAACAACCTCCAACAGTCTTATAAAGGATGTACAATACAAATAATTTTCCTATATTGGATTTACAAAAGAGGCTTGCTAACGTTTGAAGAATCTCATGAGAAGGCACAAATAAAAAAATGAAAAGAAATCAAGTTCCACAACATTATTTGAATGAACTAAAGATTAAGAGTGTTAGAAGTACAGTAAAAGGAAAGAATATAAAGCTGGTTTATTTGATCAATGTTAAAATATATATGTTGTTATCTCTGATGAACCTCAACTTCAAATCTAACTCCAAGATTAAGATGATAATACTTTATGGATTTGTTTATAGATAAGAGATGGGATATGGGAAGAAAGCTCATTTATTGTATTTTAAGAGTAGTTCATAAGAAGTGGCTTTCCATCTTCATCACAAATTTAAAAATAAAGAAACTTCTTTATGTATTTCTTTTTTCTTTACCATATCCTTACTTTTTTCTTATTTTTCTTTCCCTTTTTGCTTTTTTATTTTCTGCATCTTCTGCTCTTTGTGTTTATTCTTCTTTTTTCAATTTGTATTAGTTTTTACTGTTTTAATTATAATCTTTAATAAAATTAGTGCCAAAAATTTTAAAAGATTATCCTAGTGTCTGAAGCTGAATATTGAATAATATTCTGGTTTTTTTTTATAAACAAATACAGGTAGTCCTCGACTTATGACCACAATTGAGCCCAAAATTTCTATAGCTAAGCATGATACTTGTTAAGTGAATTTTGCCCCATTTTACAACCCTTCTTGCCACAGTTGTTAAGTGAATCACTGCTATTGTTAAGATAGTAACATAGTTATTAAGTGAATCTGTATTTCCCATTGACTTGTCAGAAGGTCACAAAAGGTGATCACATGATCCCAGGACATGTAACTATCACTAATATGAACCAGTTGCCAAGTGCCCATATTTCGATCATATGACCATGGAGATGCTGCAACAGTCATAAGTGTGAAAAATGGTCCTAAGTCATTTTTTTCAGTGCCCTTGTAACTTTGAATGGTCAGTAAGTGAATGGTTGTAAATCAAGGATTACCTGTAGTGCATGTATATGTACCTATACATTTCAAACATATAAAATGTTTTAGGTCCCTTTACCATTTGACAATCCATTAAATGTTTCTTTTTCTTACATTAGAGTAGGAGCATTCTTGTAACAATGCTATTAGGCTGGTGGTGCTAAAGAAAAGCTCTAAATTGTCTAGCAGACAGAGCTATTGATCTATAAAATTCAAAAAGGTTTATTTTCAAACTTGTCTGCATACTCATAGGTGATTGTTCTGTAGAATGTTTTTTTTTACTAAAAATCCTTTTATTTGTAAACTTTAGAATCACACAGAATGTTAACTTCTAATGGCTTGGATATCAATAGGTATTTATCCAGAGAAAGCAGTAATTTCAGAAATAATTATTTTTACACATATGTAAAGTGCAACACAATTAATTATACAGTTATTATACCTATTTTATATTTGAAGCTAGGTTTATTCAAAATTATTCTAAGATAGTATTATCTATGACACACAAAAAAAGAATACACATCTTTCGGTTTCTTACTGCAGAACATTACCTATTTATATTACAAGTAGAATAGCGAGTTTAAAAATTGTGCCTCTGTCTCACTTCTTCATTAACAAGTTCTAATTTAAGAAGAAAGTGATTGGATGATGTAAAAATATATAGCCTTAATTAAAACAGTTCTTTGCACAGTGATTCCACAAAAAACTAGAATGCTTGTTTTTCAATTGCTTTCCTGACCTCAAAGTTCTTGCACCAGACCATTTTATTCTAATCTACTCTATTTCTTCTATTCTACCCTACCTTACTCTACCCTACCCTATCCTTTCCTTTCATTTATTTTGTTATTATTTCTATTTTATATTGTTTTATCTTATCTAGTCCTTTTTTCTCCTTTTTAAAAAAGTCTTAATTGTTTATGTCATATATGACTGATACACTGTTTACATATATATGTCATATATGACTGATACACTGATACAATGTATATGACTGATACATTGTATTTGACCAATCCAGTGCTTTAAAGTTAAACAATGCTTTTAACTTCCTGGTCTTGATCGTAATTAATTAAGCAGATCTTTATTTAGATCCTATAATTGTGTGATCTTCTCATTTTTGGACCACAGAGACTTTTCAAAAAATAAATAGCAAGGACTAGATCCATTCCTTAAAATCAGGGTGAGAGTTTCTTTTAAATTACGTAAAATTACCTCTCTGTGTGACTTCAAAATATATGGAATAAGAAGAGGAGGAGAAGAGCAAAAGACAACAATGTCAACTGTAGATTAATATGAGGATAGATCTGGCTATAGAAGGAATTCTACAATAGTATCGCTGGGCAGATCTACAAAATAATAAAACTATACCAGAAACAATCTAGCAACACAAGGCACAAGGCAAAAGGTAAGAATTTGGCACAATGCAAAGCTTTAGGTCCAATTCTAACTTTATCTGAGGAGACTCCATACTTTTATAATAATAACAGAAATTTAAAAATTGAAGATTTATATACAGTATATAGGAACGGAAAAAGCAAAAGTGGAAGGCACAAGCATGGGGAAAGTAAAGAAAAAGGACTAGGATAAACAGGGAGAAAGAGCAGAAAGAGTAGGTGCAAAAGGAAAATGAGAACTTGGGAAACTGGAATCCTGAATGTTTTGCTCAGAAATTGGAGCACTACGTTCAAGTTCACTTCAGTCCCTTCTGGTTTTGACGTCATGGCTGAATGGATGCAGGAAGGTGGGGCTCTGTCTTTTGTGTTTGATTTCGCCCCGCTGGGGACTCTGGAAAGGGTTGAAAGTTGCCCCGTAGAGGTGACAAGCAACGAGGGGACCCTTGTTTGATTGCGGGAGGGTGGCGGCCCTTCCGTTTGATCCGAGGAAGCCCTCTAAACCGGCGGGGGAAATACTGGCTACATTCATGTAGCCAGTCAGAAGCTGCTAACAACGGAAGACAATAAGCACTAACAAGCAACTTTACAGCAACTTAGATGAAACTGGGTGAGACTCTATCCTCTCTTTAAGACTTTAAGACCTCTTCCTGGAAAAAAAAACTGCCCAAAGCATCCTCCCCAATGAGGAGGGAAGGGGAATTTCTACCCAATTCCCTCAGGAAAAGAAAAGCAGCGAATTAATTACTTGGGAGAAACAGAGAAAATTACAAGATTAATTTGGAATTAATATACATTTATGGCTTTAAATTTGGGGACTAAAAGTGCTTTTAAGACTTTTTTTAAAGAGATTTGAAAAGCTTACATTATAAGTTGAGATTTAAAAAGTTGGAAAATGGCGCTAATGGCATCTAGTGGTGAATTACGGCACTACAATTTGTTATGTCTAAAGGAAACTTGGCTTGAAGCCTAGATTTAGATAAGATTCTTGCGGACTTCGGAAGCTTTTAGGCTGCTTATCAATGTGACAGAGATGATGAACTATTTTGAAACTAGCTTGCCTGAACTACGAATATAAATATTATCTGACTTTCAGAGCTGTGTTGTGGAACTATTTCCCTGCAGGAGAAATACACTTCATTGCTTGAGATGATGGAATATTTTGGATTACAAATCCTTGATTGATGAACAATTTTTATTATAAAGATCACCTACAAAAAATGAAATGGATGTCCCATACTCAACTTGAAATGGTAAAAAACCATCTCTAACACCTATTCCCAAAGACTTCAATTTGACATACTACCAAGAAAATATGGATGAAAATCAGAAATAAATTCTCTCCATGCTAAAATAAATACAAGAGACTCTTGCAAGTTCACTTCAATCCCTTCCATACAAATATTTCATTTGTGAAATATTCCACAAATATTTTATTATTTTTAATGTGTGTTTTAATCAGAATGTACTTACATATGCATTAAGTTGAATCTTGAGTAGATCTGTCTGCAGAAATTCTAATTTATCAGCAAGGTACATGAATGATGACTGAAGCTCTCAGAGATTGACTGATACATATGAAAGTCAGTACGGCATAGCAGTGCAAAATTAAGGAAGCATTTAGACCTATTCAGGCATTCTGATCCCAATGAGTTCATGATGACTTCTACATCCCTCAAATGACACTACAAGCACTTAAGTGATAACCATGAATGTTTGCAGAAAGAAAATTCAGGATAAGACTTACATCTGGAAATCAATGTATGTAGAGTTGAAGACTTGAATGTTGCATGGTCCTTTTGAACAAGCAACTATCTGCAGAAGGAAAAGACATTGATCAGGCTTAATTGAAAATAGTCACTTGGTTTAGAACTTCAGAACAAACTATGTTTAATTACTTATCTAATATCAAAATATTATAGGTGACTTTAGACCAACTGCTCTCTTGTAATTTGATGTATCTAACAGGAAAAAATACTAGGAAGGAATACAATTGCTTTCATTTTTATTACTACCTAATCTGAATGATCAACTTATAAATACTGTAAAAAAGAAAAATATAAATAAAAATAAATATATTTTATATATTTATATAACAAAAATCTTATAAATACAAAATTATTACAACATATTTGTTAATTTTAAGTACAATAAAAATACTTTTTTTTGAAACTGTTTTACAGCTGAAACAAGTTGGCTATATACACCGTTTTAAAATACACTGCATATAGCTTAAAAACAAACACCTGTACAGAATTATGCCATGGCATCTGAATTTATTATGAGGAAACATTTGAGATTTATATATAGCATGTTTCTCAACCATGACAACTTTAAGATGCCAGGATATCTGGGGAACCACTTTATTCTAATGGGATCAACCTTCCTACTTGTTCCAGTGGAAAGACCATATTTTGGATTCCATCAACTAAAGAATTTTGGCCAGTGGGGTCCAGGAGAAGAACCTTTTCTGCTGTAGCCCCTGCCTTCTGGAATATCTCCCATCAGAGGTAAGAGCCACTCCCATACTTCTGACCTTCCAAAAGAGCCTAAAAATCTGGCTCTGCCACTGGCCTGTGGTCCTGATAGAGGCTTGCTACACTGGGAGCAAGATTCTCATCCCAGGCTGCCCATCATCTTGGTTTTTAACTTTTAATCTTTTTATTCTAATTTTAAATGTTTTAGCACTTTTTAATTTATTATAATATTGTGAGCTGTTAGAGATGCTATATTAGTGACATAGGTGGCATCGAAATTTTAAAGGGAGGGAGGAGGGAGGGAATGGACTTCAACTCCCAGAATTCCTCAACCAGCATTAAACAACATTAGAAACCATTTTAAGAAAGCTGATATACCGGTAGGTATATTAAAACAAGGAAAGGTAATCATATGAAGTGGAGCTCCTGAAATTCTTACTAACCTTTTTCCTCTGTCACATGACCAAGACGGGACTTAAGACTGGAACAATAAAAAAGCTATCCTCTGTTTTGCCCACACAGATATATCTGCAAACTGATGGTTTAGGAAGAATTAAAAAAGATAAACATACTTCACATAAATTAGAACATTACTTTTTTATTTAGGGTCAGAAAACAATGGGTAATGTAATGATTTAACAAATTTGCATCCTGGATTGATGGATTTATTTTAGTTCCTTAAAATATTTATTTCATTGAAATGCATTATCTTGTAATTGCAAGGTAAATACTATAGCCTACATTTGGTATTTTTTTAAAAAAATAACATATCCTGTTTGAAAATGTAGTGTAACAACAATGATATCTAGTTTCCTTTTGTTTTGATTTTTTAAAATAATTTTATTGATTTATCAAAATATAAAATACATACAGAAATTTAAAAAACTAAGAGAATTAGAAAAGGGGGAAGTAAAAGAAAATTTGTAGGAAAAGAAGAGAAGAAAAGAAAAAGGCACCAACTTCTGACTCTCTTTAACACAATAGCAGATAACATTACAGTCACAACTTTTTGCTTTTACATAACAATATGTACAAACCATTTCTATAACAATACACCTATATGATTAACAAAAACAAAATCAAGTTTTCATTTTCTTTTTCATTGCAAGCACAAAATCTGGAAGCAATTTCAAGATAGAAGCTAGCTTAAATGTATTCTCATCTTTGGATAAAAGGATCCGTTTAACCATCTCTACTTCACATTGCTGTGGGGGAAAATATATGCCTCTATTGACTCATTAATCTTTATCCTAATTCATATTAAAAGAATCCTCAATAAGGATTCAATTTTTTTTACCCTATCCTGTTTTGATTTTTCATTTAAGTATTTTACCTAATACAGTAATGGATTATGTTGTAATTTTAAAAAATTGTTGATTAACCAATTAAATTTAATCTTTAATATGCTGAGAAAAGACTCTGATGTTGAGAAAGATTGAAGGCAAAAGGAGAAGAGGGATGGAATAGGATGAAATGGTTAGATAGTGTAATCAACGCAATCAACGTGAATCTGGACAAATTCCAGAAAACAATGGAGGGCAGGTTAGCCTGGAGTCCATGGGGTCGTGAAGACTCAGACATGATTTTGCAACAGAACAAATCTTGAGTGAATAAGGATTATTTATGAGTATGTATGGGAAATCAGAAAAATCGTTGCTTGTTGATGTGAATTTGTACGATATCTACACTAGTTATTATCATTTTCAAAACATATTTTGCTAGATAGTCCTCGCTTACGACAATATGTTCAGCAACCATTCAAAGTTACAATGTTGCTGAAAAAAAATAAACTAATGACTCAAATCAAAATTATGGGCATTGCAGTGTCTCTGTGGTCACATGACCAAAATTTGGGCTTCTGGCAGTTTCCCTGTACTTTTAAAAAATATTTTTATAGTGCCTTTATTATTTGCACAAATAAATTAAGGTAACAACATATCCGACAGTTTCCTCCTGCTATTTTCCCCACAGCAACAACCCTATGAGGTGGGTTGGGCTGAGAGTGAGTGACCCAGCTGTCTTTCACTTACTCTTCCCACTTGTCTATGCCCCCCCCCATCTATGCCTTTTTGGCCACCCTGCTTTACAGGACAGCCAGCAGCCCCAGAACTGCATGACTCTTGGGCTGCTTGCCATGCCTGGGAAGCCACAGTCAATATTTACTGGCCAAGTTGGCACAGCAAACTTTCACCCTTTGCACCCAGCCATCATGCCCAACCTTTGTTGTCACCTTTTTAGACCCAGCTTCTCTGATACATGTGTCTTAGATGCAGCTCCCCAACGTTTTGAAAAGCTGTGTAGTCTTTGGAAAGCTACATTGTCTTTCCAAAGACTTTCTGAAACCAACACAGCTTTTCAAAGGCAACTTAGCTTTCCAAAGGCTATGCTATCTTTGGAAAGTATTTGGAAAGACAGTGCAGTTTTCCAAAGGTTCAGGGAGCCACATGTAGGAAATGTTTGCTAGAAAAGCTGGGTCCAAAAAGGAGACTGCAAAGGCAGCAAGGTGCTTCTTCTTTGGCTGCAGCAGCTGGGCACAAAAGGCAAGAGATTGGTGCAGGGGACTAGAAGAAAAGGCAGCTGAGCAAAAAAAATGCTTGTTGGTGCTTGCGCAGCTGAGGTTTCCCCTGGAGTGGCAAACATTCCAAGAGCTATGTGGTTGTGCAGCCGTTTGCCACCCCACAAGGCAGAATGCAGGACTGTCAAAGGGCAGATATGTGCATGAAGATGTAAGAGGTAGTTGAGGCAGTACCATACTTTGCTGAGGTTTGGTGTTGGCTTTGAATGGTTTCGACTGGGGTGGGTACTAGCTTAAAAACCTGTGGTTTCTATTAATGACTGCAATAGGGAGTGTTGAGATTGCAAATCCGTGGTGATGGGACATCTTGCTTTACAAGTACATCATTTAGTGATGGAAATTGAAGACCCAACTTCTTCATAAGTCAAGGACTACCTGTTTGCACACATGCATACCAATGTATAGCCCATGGATGGCCAACCTTAAACCCCATCAATTCTAACCAACAAGATGATATGCAAATTAATCCAATATTGACCACAATTTCCCTGCTTTTGTTATTTTTTAAAAAAAAGATTAAAAGATACTCTGAGTTAAATAATGTAAGTTATTATTATTACAGCGGTCCAAGAATATTTCAGCTGTCTAATATATAATTATCCAAATATTAGACAATTACATAAGTATGCTTAAATGCTGTTACACACTATGTAAATGCAAAAATGGCTGTTTCTTTCGGGAAGCAGACAGCAGAGCGAAATTAAAATTTCCCGATACTGAGGAAATCTTGTGCATATTCAGCTCTTAGTTACAACTTTAAATTGTTGTTACCAGAAATAAGGCTAAAAACTTTAGTCTGCTTATATTAGAATAAGCTGCTTGAATGTGCTACTATGAAACATCCTTGTCAGCAGACTTGATTCTAAAGTGAGTTCATTTTTTCCAGAAAAGTATAAATAATAAAAAGGTGATAAATTGATCAAAGAGGAGATAAGCATTTATTCTAATACAACTGTTTACAGATTGAAGATCAGTTGCAAAATCTAAAGACAACAGAAACCATTTCTTTTTGAAGAAAATGCTTTATATTTGTATCTGCAGAATTTGGGAAAATTGTTCTAAAAGTAATACTGTACTGTATTATTGTCGAAAATCCACATTTTTAAATAAAGAGCATTGATGAGACATTGCCAGTGGCAAAAATATTAGTATTTATTGACATATTATGTTCAGAATATTATGTTTAATTAATCTCTTATTCTCAGCCAACAACGAAGAGTACTATTGTAGTGTATGGAATCTTTTTGTATCGTTATGATCACACGAATGTTTGTACCACGTAGCTTATCGTGTAACGGAATTAGGCAAACCGAAAGCCTGAACTGAAGCATGCGAATTCCTTTCCAAACTTTCACTAACAATAGCGGCGTGCTCGTCCGGCATTTGCAAGGGTGGATAGCATTTTTGAACATTACTGGCGACGCACATGGGTAATGCTCAGCACCCTTAATTTGATCTGTGATGCTCAAGATTCAAAAGTGCAACGGGTTTATTAAGAAGAGAAATGTAGTTAGCTAGCATGGTCATTTGTCCATTCTAGTGGAATTGAGAGGCTACTATTTGGACAAGATACAGTAGCACAAAGATGAGTTATGAAAAGCTGTTTCACTTCTGTTTCTACAAGCCGTGGAAGGCGTTTCGGGCGGCTGCTGGGCCGGAAAAGAACAGGAATTGGCAAGACAGCCACAAGATACGTATTTACTGTGCTGTAGTTGCTCTTCAAACTGCCTTCTTCATTTTCGATTACTGGTCAGCGACAGTAGCTAAGGACGCTTTTTTTAGGGGTGTTTGTCGCCAGGGGATGGAGCACGAACGCTAAATAGGTCCTCGCAACAGTGCATAGATACGTACATACGGAGTCCGGCGTGCGTGCCCCAGTTCCTTCCTTCAAGGTGGCTTTTCTATTCCCCCGTCTCGGCAGCCAGAGAGCCGCCGGACCGGGGCTGGCAAGCCGTCAGCAGAGCGACAAAGTCCTAAGCGAGCGCGCCGCCGTCGCCGCTGCGCGCGCGTGTATGAGCGGCCTCCGCCTTCCCCTGCAGCTGGGCGCCTGCGTGCAAGAGAAAAGGGGGCGGTGGTTCAACTCAGCAAGCAGCGTCGCTACGAGGCGGGGGGTGGTGGCGGCCGGGAGGCGGCGGCGGCGGCGGCCGGGAGGCAACCCTCCTTTCGCTCTCCCAAGCCCCGCTTTGCTTTGGCGGGTCGATGGATCTCTGAGCGAGGGAGGGACGCAGGCGGGGAGGAGGGAGGTGAATGCCCCCTCTTCAGTGCCTTTGCACCAACAGCAGCAGGTAAAGTCGGCTCAGCCCCAGGCGGCTCCCCTCGGTGACCCGCCCGATTCCCGCAGTATCAAATGACCTGCCTTCGTCTGCAACCCCTCCTTTGGTTTCCCCGGGCTTCGTGTGGCGCCCTCCTCCTCCCTCATCTCCATTCCCGGCTGAGGAACAGCCGTAGAAGGCGAGGAGGAAGGAAGTGATTTTGAGGCCTGCAAGGCGCCGCTCCCTCTCCCGTCGCCAGCTTCTAGAAGCAGGTCTGTTTGCTGCTTCAGATCGTGACAACAGGAAGGTTGGAGGGAACCTTTTTTGCTCTCTAGAGACCCCCGAGAGGCAGAGGAAAAGGTTCCTTAATGGGGGCGGGGGCGGGCGCGTTTTACCGCCCTGTTTCTAGGGGGGAGGAGAAGTTGCTTTTTTTCCTCCACCCCCACCCAAGCCTTCACTCTTTTCAATCGAGCTTGTTCTGCTTCGATCTCTTCCGAAGCGTTCCGAAAGGTTTTTCAATTTCAGATTCTGTTCTTCACACCATGTGAACTCAGAAGTAACCCCCAAGGAGTTCATCGGCATTTGCTTTCAAGTGAACGGGTATAAAATTGCACCTTTCAGACACATTTACCAGACCTTTTGATTACATCAGCTTACTCATCATATATTGTCCCTTAAAAAAAAAAAGAAACAAAAGAAAGGCGTGTTTTAGATAAAAAGAAGAACCCGAGTAGCTCTTTTTTAAAAAAAGTCTTAGATATGAAATTTGGTTGCTGTTGAGTCAATCATGGCATCTTCCAGGGAAGTTTAAGATTAAGTGCATTGTGAAGGATTATATGTCCCAAACTTGTCACATTCTGAGAGTGCCCACATAGTAGACGAATAAAACCCAATCATAAATTTATCAAACAGTGGAGTTTCCTAGTAAGAACCAACTTGGCTCTTTCATTATGTGCCAGAGAAGGTGATTGATTTATTGATAAATATAGAAAAAAAATCAATAGTCCTGTGTATTAAATTAAAATGTCTGCATTGAACTTTGGCTAGCATAAAGTTAGCACAGGTTATAATGCATAGCTATATTTTAACTGAAAGGAAGATACAAAATTTAAAACCACTCCTCCAAAAGAAAAATTAATTAGAACAAACCTGCCGCCTTATTTAAAACAATTCTCATTTTAAGAGGAAAATAAGACTGAAAAGGATAGCACTTCTTGTCAAACACAATACTCTAAATTTTCACATTGTAGAATTGGAGACATGTAATTCAGTGGTATTTTTCAACACGAGGTGAAGAGATGGGAGTTTCTGTATACATAGCAAATCTATGGAGGAAATATCCAAAAACAAATGGTATATACAATGAAAAAAGATTTAGAAATGCCATTGGATCCAGGTTCTTGGACATGTCTAAACTAACTTTAACCATAATTATTACAAAGCAGTATTTTATTTCTTTCAATGATAAGTGTGTATAAAATTGCCACATATTTAATTAGAAAAAAGCAAGACATTGTATGTGATTAGAAATGCTGCATGAATAATATAAATATGCACATATGAGTGTGTATATTTATATCTTATGTAAAATAAGAGGAAATTATAAAAGCTAGAATTTTATTATCAAATATGTATGCTATACTTCAAATTTTATTTCATGAACTAAGACTTCTTAGCAATATTTATACATAGTTCCGTAACATTGTTCTCAATAAGATATAGTATTTTATGATTTGGCCCTTGTTCCATTTTGGAACACTAGTTTTTTTAGAACCTGTTTGGTTAAAACAGGGGTCTTCAAACTTGGCCTTTTTATGACTTGTGGACTTCAACTCCCAGAATTCCTCAGCCAGCAAGCCTGGCTGAGGAATTCTGGGAGTTGAAGTCCACAAGTCATAAAAGGGCCAAGTTTGAAGACCCCTGGATTAAAACATCAGGCTAGAAACTGGGAGACTGAGTTTTAGTCCAGCCTTAGGCATAAAGCTAGATGATCCTAGGACAGTGATGGTGAACCTTTTAGAGGCCAAGTGCCCAAACTGCAACTCAAAACCCACTTATCGGGTGCCAGGTGGGTGTGGCCCATTGGCTGGGTGTGGCCCATTGGGTTGGCGTGGCTACGGTGGTAACTGCAGACTAGGACTAAAAAGTTCAATCAATCAATTCCAACTTTGCAAGATCTTTTTTTTTCCTGTGAGAAGTTGAAATTGACTGATTGATTGAACCTTTTTTTTTTTGTACATGGTGGCAGAGGCCTAAAGTGAAAAGGTTTTATAAAACCCAGCTGAAGGCCTAGGACTGGGGCGACGGCACGCGTGCCCACAGAGAGGGCTCTGAGTGCAGCCTCTGGCACCCATGCCATAGGTTTGCCACCACTGTCCTAGGACCAAGGCAATGGCAAATCACTTCTCTAAAATCTTGCCAATGAAACAGCCAAGCAGTCTCCAAGAATCAGACACTAAAGGAAGAAAAAAAAAGTTTTTCTTGAACATGGACATAATTGATGGGTATAATATCCTTGGTGTGGTAATGGCATGGAAGATATATTTCTAGAGGTAACATATATATAAATAACCTTAAACTTAATCCATTTGGCATATTACTGGGAGTCTTAATTGCTACATGAAAATCAGTGGTGGCGCTTCAATGGTTAGATGGCCTAGAACGGGTGTCAAATTAGCGGCCCACAGGCTGAATGTATCATGAGCAGGCCACGCCCACCCTGGCTTCGCAAAGGCAAAAAACGCCATGAGTCATGTGACATGACTGAGTTTGACTCCCGTGGCCTAGACATTGGTATTTGAACATAGATCTTTTTACCATTTATATTTTAATTGTGTTTTACTAATCTGGGTGAAATGTTAATATGTATTGCTAGTCCATGTATGATATGCTATATACTAAATAAATAAATCAATGATAGCAAAAACTTTTTAGTGGGCAAAAAAAGAATAGAAATCCATATTTTATTTTTTGTTTATTATTAAATTTATATTCTGCCTTTATTTGCATATTTTAAGCCAGAATACATACTATTTCTGCCTCCTGTTTTCCCCATAACACATTCCTGGGTGGGTGACTGGCCCAAAAGTTTTCTTCATGAAATAAATCTGTGTATATTAGTTGAAAAGCCTACTGGTCTTACTAGAGATACCAGATTTTTTTTCTTTTTTAAAAAAAATGCTCTTGTGAAAAAAAAACCCACGAATACTTATTTTGATGAATTGTTTCTGTAAAATATTGCTCCAATATATATTTATCCAACTAAGTATTGAGCACTGTTTTGCTATTAGATTTTTCAGTTAATAATCATGTGTATATTTAGCAAGTTTTTCATTAACTGATAGTACTAGCAATTTTCTTACAAATATATTCCATTGAATTAGACACTAAGAATTAAACTTAGAATCGCAGGCCAGGCATAAGAAAAATACATACTGCTTTAGAGAAAATAATGTTTTAATTCCTATTTATAACAGCCTCAATTTAGTCAAATTTTCTTTATAAGATTTTTTCTGTTATATAAGTATTAAAAGTGAAAGTGTTTGGGATAGTTTGAAATTTCATATCATATCATTGGAATTCAACATTTTTTCATAGATGCTATCCATATTGTTCTTCCTGTCATTTTTGAGATATTCTTAAGAAGCCGTAAAGTTAAACTCTGGCCTGGCTGTTACAATTACATTCTGCCCAAGTAGACCTGGACTTAACCACCAGTTGCTTAGAAACCATGTGAAGTTATGATAGACCTTCCCCCCCACGTACTTATGACCTAGTTCCAAAGTTCTGAGAGCTGCTGTTCTATGCAGTTATGTGATCTCATTTTGGGCCTTCGACACTGGCCCACATTTATTTCACATATATTTGCTGCCTCCTACTGTCATGATATGATTTACAATGTTTTTTTTCTGAAAAATGATATTTAATTTCAGTTTTTGACTAAAATGCCTTGTAATGAACAATGGGTTGACTTAGTGACCATGACATTTGCTAATGGTCACAGATTTGCTTAATGACCATGGTGATTCACTTAATGACCATTGCAAAAAAGTTCATAAAATCAGATCGGTCGCCCTATGACCCACTTTACACTCATCACAAGTTATGCTGTAAGTTGAGCACTACCTACAATTATTTAAATTATTTCACAAGCGTTAGTTTTCTTTATGCATTTTTTAGATTTTTTTTATTCTATTTTTATTACTTTGTAAGTAACTCAGTGCAACAAGCATATGTAATATTCTTTCTTTCTGCTATTTTCTCCACAATAAAACCCTATGGGTTGAGTTGAGCTGAAAGTAACTGGCCCAAAGTCACCCAGCCAGCTTTCATGCCTGTGGTGACACTAGAACTCACAGTCTCCTGCTTTCTAGGCCAGGACTTTAACCTCTACACCAAACAGGCTGTACCTGTCATAATGTGAACATTAGCTAGAGTGAAGCAATTACAGTGAAGCTCCCTTTTCTTTTTTTAATGCTGTACACAGATACTGCAAAGGATCTTATAGAAAACTGGTTTTTTCTAACTTCCATAATTAGAAAAGACTCTCCTGTGTCCAGTCCCACATTCTTGGATTTTTTCCAACTTTCTGATGACCCTTTGCAGGAACTTTCTGGTAGTCCCATTCAAATAGCAACCCTCAGTTTTTGAATTGAGACAAGGTGTTATTACTTTCTAAGGTTTTTTAAAAAAAACATTTTAAATTAACAAGATATATTAAGTGTCAATAGCTATAGTTTCTAAATAGGGAAAAGATTGACTGGAAAAAATGTCAATGTAAGAAGCCCAAGTTAAAGAGAAGGTAATACTATAAGTGATCAAATTTGTAAAGCTTTTGGTCCAGTCTCTGAGATTCTCTGCTTAATGTATATAGTTTCTCTGCTTAATGTATATAGTTCATCTGCCAACATTTTTACATAGGTTGCTCAGACAGAACAAAAAAAATTAACACAAACAAAGACAAAAATGAGGTGCTTGTGAGATAATGGTGAAAGTTATTTTTAGTTCTCCCAAATTGGTTATGTTAGAAAATA